GCTGTTTCTGCTGCTGCTGCTGCTGCTGCTGCTGCAGTTAATGTCTTATTAACGAGGCATCTGCTGTCATCATATAGTTAGGTACTGTCTTCTGCAGCAGCAGACTTGAGCCAGCAGCAACTTTTGTTGCTACTTTTACTGCTGGTCTTACTACTGGTTGCTGCTGCTGCTGCTGCTGCTGTGCTACTTGAGGCTTCTGCTGCTGCTGCAGCAGCACCTGCTGCTGCAACTGCTGCTGCTGCTGCACATGAGTGGGAGACGGGAGGCCAGCCAGAGCTAATCGGCTTTGGCCCGGCTGCATTTGCTGCAGGTGTATAAGTCGTGTATTGTGCTGCTGCAGCATCATTTGTTGCTGTTGCTGCTGCTGTTGCTGCTGCTGTTGCTGCTGCTGCACCGGGTGCATGTTATAAGGCTGCAGCTGCTGGTACGATGCTTGTCGTTGTTGCTGAACAGGTGTCATTGCCTGCTGAGGCTTTTGCTGCTGCTGCTGCTGTTGCTGTTGCATGCGCTGCTGCTGCTGAAAAGGACTGGGGGGCCACAGAGGCTGCATGCCCACCTGCGGAGTGCCAACCATGGAAGCTGCTGCTGCTACAGGAGGCATACTCATAAATGGCTGCTGCTGCTGCTGCTGTAGTTGCTGCTGGGGGGAGACAAAAGATGCCGTAGGGCTACGTGATCGGTTGCGTGCTGCCATGGCTCTCTGCTGCTGCTGTTGCTGCTGCTGCACTCGAGGAACGAAGACAGGGACTGGCTGCTGCTGTCTCTGTCGGGGTTGCTGCTGCTGCTGTTGCTGCTGCTGCTGGCCTAGGGAACCGAAAGCCTGAGATGGAGACAGAGAGAAGGCTTCCATCTGTTGCTGCAGTTGTTGTTGCAGTTGTTGTTGCTGCAGTTGCTGCTGCTGCAGTTGTTGCTGCTGCAGTTGTTGCTGCTGCAGTTGCCGTTGTTGCATTTGTTGTTGCTGCAGTTGTTGCTGCTGCAGTTGGCGTTGTTGCATTTGTTGTTGCTGCAGTTGCTGTTGTTGGAGTTGCTGTTGCTGAAGTTGTTGCTGCTGCAGTTGCTGCTGCTGCAGTTGTTGTTGCTGCAGTTGCTGCTGCTGCAGTTGTTGCTGCTGTTCCTTCATCGCCCCAACAGTTGTGAGTCGTTGGGCTACAGGAGTCATTTGCTGCCTCCAGAGCGCCTGCTGTGGCTGTTGCTGCTGCTGCTGCTGCTGTTGCTGCTGCATCTGCTGCTGCTGCTGTTGCAGTTGCTGCTGCTGTGGAGGCATTTCTCTGTCATTCTGTTCCAACGGCTTTCCAATGCCTTTGCTGTTTGTCCTCCGCAGCAAATGTGCCCCCTGTCTCGGTTGCTGCTGCATTTGCTGCTGCTGCGGCATTTGCTGCTGCTGCTGCTGCTGCTGAAGTAATTGTGGCTCCACTCTCTGCATAGGGATTATTTCCACGGATGCTGGTGACCACGGCCCCTCAGCAACATTGCGGCGTGGCATCTGTTGCTGCTGCTGCTGCTGCATTTGCTGCTGTTGTTGTTGTTGCTGCTGCAGTTTGAGTTGCCTTGCTGCAGCAGAACGAGGAGTAAATACTCTCGGCTGTGAGGTCAAAGGCATCCAGGAACCCCCAGGCGGCAGCAAACTTGGAGGTACTGCTGCTGCTGCTGCTGCTGCTGCTGCAGTTGGTGCTGCTGCTGCTGCTGCATTGGATATTCCTGCAGAGGGCATCATGTGGGCATTCCCTCCTTCTACTGAGTTCACTCCCTGTTGCTGCTGTTGCATCTGTTGCTGTTGTTGTTGCACTGGTTGTTGTTGTTGCTGCTGCTGTTTGCTGCTGCTGCTGCTGTTGTTGTTGTTGTTGTTATTGTTGTTAAGTATAACCTGCCCTAATGCATCTGTTGTTAAGGGAGTCCCTCTTCTCTGCCTCGCAGGAGAAACACTAAATGGTGGCCCCTCTGCCTCCCATAGAGCACCCTGAGGACACATCATATATACAACAACACATTGCTGCTGCTGCTGCTGCTGCTGTTGTTGTTGCTGTTGCTGTTGCTGTTGGTGATCAGGGGGATGTTTAGATCTAATGGTGGGGTGATCTAAACACTAAACCCTAGACACTAAACCCTAAACCCTAAACCCTAAAGATGCTGTTCAGTAACTGCAGCAGCACCAACTGTAGCACCAGCAACTGCAGCAGCAGCAACTGCAGCAGCAGCAACTGCAGCAGCAGCATCAATTGTGACTGTATATATATACCTGTTGCTTCTTTTTTGCTGAACGAGGGATGATCCCTTCTGCGCATTCTGCTGCTGCTGCTGCATACTGCAGCAAATGGTTGCTGCTGCTGATTTCATTTGCGTCTTGCTGCGGCTGCAGCAGCAGCAGCGAGTCATTTCTTCTCCGTATACTATGTTGGTGCTGCAGTATCTGCTGCTGCTGCGGTTGCTGTCTTAGTGCTGATACCCATAGGGCCTCCCCTGGATCAGAGAGGCGGGCCCCCCATGACCCCATACCCTTTCCTGCTGCTGCGCTGCTCTGCTGCTGCTTCCTTTGCTTCTCAAGAGCGTCGCCCCACAGTCTATCAAATACCTGCAGCAGCAGCAGCAGCAGCAGCAGCAGTAGATGTAATGGTAATAGGAGCAGCAGATAGCACAAAGACAGCAGCAACAGCGAATGTGCTGCAGCACCAACAACTCCAGCAGCAGCAGCAGCAGCAGTTGCTGCTGCTGCTGCTGCTTCTCCTGATTTGCTTCTGCAGTCTTACCTGAGCACTCTTGCTTCGCGCTGCTGATGTCCCTTTTGCTGCAGCAGCAGAAGATCGTGCATGCGCTCTTACAGGCCTCCCTCCTGTCTGTACACCCCAATAACAACACATACAAATAGATGCTGCTGCTTACTACATTAGCTAATACTACTACTACTACAGCAGCAGCAGCAGCAGCAGCACCGCTCGAGCAACTGTAGCAACAATAACATCAACAGCAGCAATAACAACAAGAACAGCAGCAGGAACAGCAGCAACAGCAGCAGCAGATGTACGCACAATAGGAGCAGATGCAGTTCTTTGCTGGGTGATGGTATGTCTTGTCATTAGACGACTTGCTGCATGCATTAAGGAAGCAACAGTTGGCTGCAGCAGCCTAGCACCCCCTCCTGCTGCTGCTGCTGCTGCTGCTGCTGCTGATGGTTTCTTAGAGTCAATACTGCTGCTGCTGCTGCTGTTGCAGAAGCAGCATAAGCTACGGTAACGAAGCCCATGAGGACATAGGCCTCTTCTTCTCTCTGCTGCTGCTGCTGCTCTCTCCTTCTCGCTGTCGCTGCAGCAAACAGATATAGAGCGAGATGCAGCAGCACCACGACGCCAATTGCTGCTGCTGCTGCTGCTGTCCTTCCTACTAGCACGGGAACAAGTGCTACCTCGGCTAGGAGTTGCGCTGCATACGCGGCCCCTCCTCTGCTGCTGCTGCTGCTGCTGCTGCCGTGGGGTTTCGCTTGCTGCTTGTTTGCTCTGCTGCAGCTGCTGCTGCTTCTGCTGCAGCTTCTTTACAACTGCAGCACGAGCAGGTGATGGTATCTCAGCCCAAAGGCTGCTGCTGCTGCTGTTGCTGCTGCTGCTGCTGGGGTTTTGTATATGAGAGGGGGTTTTCTGTTGCTTCGTCTTTATAGAGAAGTCCCTGCTGCTGCTGCTGCTGTGCATGCGGCTGTCTGCTGCTGTTGTGAGGCTGCTGCGGCTGTCTAGTCGCCGGTCCTGCTGCTGCCAGCCAAAGGATAGGCTTCTGCGGCTGCTGCTGCAGCTGCTTCTGCTGCAGCTGCTGTTGCAGCAGCTGCTGCTGCGGTTTGGATGTGGCACCTGATCTGGTAGAGCAGCAGTTGCTGCTCGGTGGCCTTTAGGGGTCTTGCTACGACCTGCTGCTGCTGCTGCTGCCGCTGCTGCTGCTGCTGCTGCTGCTGCAGGTGCAGAAGAGGACGTTCTTTTAGGGGATTTATGTTTTGTTCTTTTTCTTATTTTCTCATCACCAGAGAGAAGACTGTCATCAGACAGCACGAAGTCTTCCTCAGCTGCTGCTGCTGCTGCTGCAGCAGCAGCAGCAGCTGCTGCTGCGGCACGAGGAGAAAATGCAGCGAAACCGACGGTTGGAGTAGAAGCAGCAGCTGCAACTGCTGCTGCTGCTGCTGTGGTCGCTGCTGTTGGTGTTGCAGGCGGGGCCGCCTGTGCTAAGGCGGGGCCCTCCATGACGATGGCTGCTGTTGCTGCTGCACGAAGGAGGCCAACGTTGTGCTGTTGCTGCTGTTGCTGCTGTTGCTGCTGCTCCTGAGCTCAGCAGCAAGAAACAAATATTAAGGAAAATTAAAAAAGACGAGGCCGGCGAAGAGTAAGAAGGAGAAGAATCCGGCGAGACCTCCCACCCAGCTGCTGCTGTTGCTGTTGCTGCTGCTGCTGCCGCTGCTGCTGCTGCTGCTGCTGCTGTGTCTGTGCAGCGCTGCAACAACGCAGCAAGTTTTACTCCTTAAAATAAAAATAAAAAACAAAGGAAGGCAGAAGACAGCAGCAGAAGACAGCGGCTACAGCAGCTTGCGCGGCTGGTGGCCGTGCTGCTGCTGCTGCCGCTGTCGTTGCTGCTGCTGCAGCTGCAGCTGCTGCTGTTGCTGCTGCAGGCAATTTTCTCTTCTTAAGAAAAATATTTATTATATAAAATATCTTATTGTCTCTTTTTTGTCTATGAAGAAAGCAAAGAAGAAAAACACAAGGAAGAAGAAAAGACGCAAACGGCCGCAAGGACCGCTGGTGGCGAGTCGCCGGTCCTCTCCCGCTACCGTTGCTGCTGTTGCTGCTGCTGCTGTTGCTGCTGCTGCTGTTGCTGCTGCTGCTGCTGGTTTTGCTGCTAATGCTGCTGACGACCAACACAAAAAAACAACTGTTGGGCATTTTACAGCAAAAAATAAATATTTCATAAATATTTTTAACAGCAGCAGCAGCAGCAGCAGCAGCTGGCTGCCGCTGCTGCTGCTGCTGCTGCTG